TTTCAATTTTTGTAGAACTAGTAAATGATTGCAGTTTACGTTAAAGGGCTTCAATTCTTTACTCTCTTGAAAAATAGTAACAACTTAAAACAGAATAGTACAGCTAGTGAAAAAGTATTGTGTACGTAAATGCCAGCTGTATAAGTTTAAGGAGGAGGATTTGGGTGGAGGGACCTTGTGTTATGCAGATGTTCATTTTGTTTGGGATGACAATAGTATTAAGAGAAGAATACTTTTGCTCCATATCCTTTCAACAATGAAAAGGTTAGTGGCTAGGTATTGTATCTCTATAGGTAAGATAAAATGTGACGTTGTGTATTTTTTTCACGTTTTTTTTTTTTTTTTTTTTGTGGCTTTATCAAAAGCTGTTTGAAAATGAAAGATGTATTTCTCACAGAATGTAAAACATAGGCTCAGGATTTCTCTTTTAATCTTATATCTTAGGTATCTAAATTTCCCAATTTGATTCCGGTTTCGAAAATAAAACTCCAAGGGAATTAACCACATTTGTAGTAACTGGAGACGGTATGGTGTGGATTCATAATATAATTGCTGACAACGCGATTGAAGGGTAAGGACTATGTTGGGTTGACGCTATCTATTGGTGACGCAATGTGATAAGGTGACACCGCGCGTTAGGGCTGGTATTTATTGCTACGACAAAACTATCTATTTGTTAGGAGTAGAGTAAAAGAAAGGTAGTTTTTTGTTGCAAACATCGACGATAGATTTCGTCCTTCTGACAAATAGTTCGGTCCCCAAATGACAAGTTATTTCATCGAAATTTTATCTCGTACCGTATTTGTACTTTCAAGCGTTCTTTGGAAATTTGTTCACACAAAAAGTTCTATGGAAAGAATGAAAATGATCTAAGTTTTGTGATTTGAAATACGTTCATCGCGTAAACTGTGTTTCGAAGCAGGAAATTAACAGTTTATATTGAACAATGGAAAAAGGAATGTCTGAACTACAAGAAAAAGACATTTTAGCAATTACTTTTGTTATCCCATTTGGCGCGATAGAACAAGTGAGTTTATGCTGTCCATCTGGCGTCAACTTTTTGTCCTTAAATTACTTTTCTCAGTAACCAATAGGCCTATTGTTAAAACGTTCATGTATTTATGAAAAAAACGATACTATGTGAACGATCGGATATCTGTCGGTAACCAAAGCTGGGAGATTGGAAATGTATAAAAACAGATATGTACAAAAGGTACTTGTACCAGCCGCTATGTTCTGTAATGAGCAGGCTGGTTTAGAGAGTAGCCTTTCAGTTACTCCGGATTTACGTCATAGCTGAACAATATCATCATTAATTGCTAGCCCCGATTCGCTTTGCAAATAAATTCATTTGTATGTATGGTTTACATTAGAAAGAAATATGTATGTGTGCTTGTAACGTTTACGCCTCTGAACTAAAGATTGTAAGATTGTAATACTTAAGCTTAGTACTGTCTCGTACTACATGCAGGTAATTTCTGGACGTTTGAAAGGTAACATTTGTAATTCTTCTTGATGTGAAACCAAAGAAAAAAAATAATGATAAAAGTCAAATTGAATATTACAATGCCGAGCCAAATGTAACAGTGGTATGTGGAGTTGGTGGCGAGAAAATTTAGCACGTTGTCTCGAAATATCTGTCGCGAGAAGTAAAAGCGGGGTTGACTACTCTAAAACCTCTGGAGTATTTGTCAAGTGAAGTTTCTGTCTGGTGTAGATATATTGGGAATCCGGAGAGGAAATTGGCCCAAAATTACAAGAATATAATCCCATCAGACTTGTATTTAGGGTTCGTTTTGTATAGTCGCTTTTGCCTTGCCATGTTATGTGTATATAAGCACCTTTAATAGCGTGACACTGCCCAATTCGTCTGTCGCCTCTCCTTCTTTTCTAATCTTAACCAGGGATCACGTGACAGCAGCGGCAAGCCGGAAGATGACGACCCATAATGCACCAAATCAACAAAATTAGCCCTAAGTATGATTCAACACGGCAATATACATACATCACCATTAAGCGGGTGACAAGAGAGCAGCAGACACTATGTTTATATCCACAATAGTGCAAAGTTTATTGCGAAAGTACTGTCGATCTTCAAGACATTATGTCTTCTGCTATTGAATACAATAGAATCTTCGATTGATTCTCGTTCGGGAGCAATTTGTTTTTCTTTTCACTCTCTCCTCTCTCTGTCTGTCTGCCCCCCCCCCTCCTCTCTCTCTCTCTCTCTCTCTCTCTCTCTCTCTCTCTCTCTCTCTCTCTCTCTCTCTCTCTCTCTCTCTGTCTCTCTCCTTGCTCCCATCTATAGATTACGATGTTGCAAATATGGTATACTCCCAACAAAACGAAATTACTAAATATCTAATTGTACTGTCTATATCGAGACCGTCCCTCATTTTCCTAAACATCAATTATGTCATTTTGCAATGCCAATCGCTAGGACTTGGTATTGAGAGTTTGGTCAAGCGATGAAGTCCTAGATTCTATAACGGACGAATTGAAGACAATAAGGACCTATGTTAACACTCGTTAGTCAGTTACCAGATGGAGTATCATACTACTGTGTGTAGATCATGACATTTCAGTATGATTACACTTTAAAGACGTCCTTCATCGAAGGACATGGTCTTCATTTGACATTGGTTGTTGCCAAAACGTGAGATTCCAAAAAAATGATCTCAACGCTATCAAGATATTGGTCACAGATAGGGTGAACTCAGAGATTTGTTTAAAATTGAACAGTTACGTTTTGTTGTAGAGAGTGATACTTCTGTTCACTGCAGTACTAGAACATGTCAGTGCATGGATTCGGGGAAGGTCTACTTTCTGTTATAGAAAGTGACATTTCTGTACTAGATAGGGAGAATGCGGAATGTCGATATGTCGATATTGCGTCATACCAAATCATGTCACTAAGTGCAAACATTCCGGAAGCCCTTCTTCTTCAATTAAATGTTTGTTTTACATGATTTCAGCCATCGTTTTCAGTTGTTCAATAGATATTCGATTGTAGTGCCATTTTTACGTGAGTGGGAGGGAGACTTCATTTTTTCTCTTTTAATGTACAGAGAAAGATTGCACATACAAGTGAAAGGCGCCCTTTAACACAATCAGTAGAACCAAATAAGGAATTAAACTGACTCGTTGTCATGATAGGTCTTGTCAGTGATATATACTGAAGGCATAGATTTTGAAATCTATGAGGCGACTAAGAAGAATAAAAAATAATTTTAATGCCAAAATTAGGCCAGAGATAACTTGATGATACAGATTATATTTGATGTTATATCAGAACAAGTGTTACGTAACAGTCTATAAAAAACAGACACCAAATGATCACGAATGCTCTGTTGGTGAAAAGATGGCATCGAATTTGCACATCAGACAAGGCGAAGATCCGAAATCTGTAGGTTAAACCCGATTCGGTCCACATTTCCGGGAAGTTGAGAGCACGGTTCGTCCAATGTTATTGCGATCGTTTGTCCTTAGGCGAAACATTTTGTCCTGATTGATTGACATAGCGTGCGACAGGCCTCCAGCACGAGGTTCACTGAAGTAACTACCATTTACTGCAAGAAACGCTGTGTCTATCACAGAAATGATATATCCTAAAACAAATGCACTCTTATTGTAATTTGTGCATGAGTCTACGAACTCCTGATAGTATCACGAAAGGACGAAAAAAAACTTCAATGGAAATCGAAATCAAATGATTGATTCGTTTGTATTTCTTTTCATGTACCAGAAACATGTTACAACGTTGTGCGATTAATCAAATTCGCCTTTTCCTTTCTTACATAATTGCATTCTAGTCCATCAGAAATTGGAAAGAATTTGAAAAAAAAATATCAATTATCTAAGTATGAATTGAAAACTCCTATTGAAATTCTGTCACTATCACCAGTAGTGTGACATTGTGTATACACCAGTATTTTAATCACTCTAGCTGGGTTTACCCGTACCGATATGCAGTTGGACTGGCCCGCTGTTTTTATTCCCAGAATGACTTACATTGTGCTATAACCAACCATGCTTGTCTTCTCGCCAACACGAACATTTATTTTCCCAATGGACTGTTCCAATTCTTATTCTCTTTCCAAGTGGAAACCCGGTATCCATTTGCTTGTATGTGTATACATGTCCCTGTTGATTAGACCCAAGTGTGTGGAGGGTACCGTTGCGACTAATTAAGTCACTGTGTTCCTTTTAATTGACAATGTGATACAACAAGTCTACATTCATTTACAGGTATAGAACATGATACGCTTAGTTTTGACACACACGTACATATGTGTTTTCAACACATTTTCATCATAAATTATTCAGTTCAATATCCTCAGAATTGAGCGCTTGTTCGTTTCACTAGGTATATCCATGCGCCAGACGACAAACACAGGTAAAGCGCTCGTCGCGTGCCAAGCGTCGGTGTTACGACCACACACTTAAAAACATATAGGGTTTTTATAGCAGACATGTCATGCTGTCTAACTCGCCCACACAGTGGTCAATTGTATAGATATATATATATACTTATATAGTATAGACAGCTGTCATATTGACTTGGCCACTCTTAGGGCCGACAACCTGAGACTGTGAAACAGTTCCATTCGCAGGCATTTGGAATGACTCTCCTGGAATATTAACAAGTGGGTGTTGCTGTGGATAATATCTTGGTGCTGCTTGACGATCTCTGCCAGGAAAAAAAGGTCTGTTAGACTTATTTCGCTCAGAAGGTCCCACGTGTATGATTTAACAGTTTGGATGTAATTTCACTTGTTCGGATGTAGAAAGTGCCAGGCGTTATATCCATATTCGCGTGGCTTTTATTTGATTTTGAAAACTGAAAAATCAATTTAGGCCGGGAAACTGGTACGACTTGAAAACAATAAGATCACTTCAAGTCATGGGATGATTTGTGCGTGTTATCACTTCTGTTTCAACGTACAAATCGTTTTGTTCTTTGGAGTTGAGACACAAACAAAGGAATTAAGTTTACAGCCATGTTGAAAATGTCTAAGATTGAAGTCCCGGTCGCTGATGACACCCCGGGAAAGACCCAACAAAATGATTATCAGGTGAGAGAATTGGGGAGTTTCCGGGAGAGTGATGTTAAACAAGTTTCGTTCATTTGTGAAAAAATAATTTCTTTTTGATTGAGATTATTAGGTGTTAAACAAAAACACGATTGTATTGTTATTCTATATGTACTTTCAGTAAAAACAGTCAGTAAAACGGAATCTTCCTCCTCTGTAGAAATATTAAAGGGTAAGGGTTAGTATGTTAGGAGGAGGAGGAAGGATGAAAACGAAGGGGTTACCCCTAGGTATTAAGAAGTTTTCTACTTGTACTCTCGAAAAGTCTACGTATTCAGTATAACGAGTATAACAGATCTAGTATGTGTATACTCATAAACTCCGAGAATTACACTGTATATATACACTGTATATCATACTTCTAGTGTAACACTGTATATATACATGTACTCCGAGAATTACACTGTATATATACATGTACTCCGAGAATTACACTGTATATATACATGTACTCCGAGAATTACACTGTATATAAACATGTACTCCGAGAATTACACTGTATATATACATATACTCCGAGAATTACACTGTATATATACATGTACTCCGAGAATTACACTGTATATATACATGTACTCCGAGAATTACACTGTATATATACATGTACTCCGAGAATTATACTGTGAATATACATGTATATATACACTGTATATATACATGTACTCCGAGAATTACACTGTATATATACATGTACTCTGTTACACACTGTATATATACATGTACTCCGAGAATTACACTGTATATATACATGTACTCCGAGAATTACACTGTATATATACATGTACTCAGAGAATTACACTGTATATATACACTGTATATCTTACCTCTAGTGTAACACTGTATATATACATGTACTCCGAGAATTACACTGTATATATACACTGTATATCATACTTCTAGTGTAACACTGTATATATACATGTACTCCGAGAATTACACTGTATATATACACTGTATATCATACTTCTAGTGTAACACTGTATATATACATGTACTCCTAGAAGTAAACTCTGTATTATAATCCTAGTGTAACACTGTATATATACATGTATCCGAGAATTACACTCTCCGTATCGTATATATATATATATATATATATATATATATATACATGTACTATTACACTCTGTATTTTAATCCTAGTGTAACACTGTATATATACATGTACTCCTAGAATTACACTCTGTATTTTAATCCTAGTGTAACACTGTATATATACATGTACTCCTAGAATTACACTCTGTATTATAATCCTAGTGTAACACTGTTATATACATGTACTCCGAGAATTACACTCTGTATTTTAATCCTAGTGTAACACTGTATATTTACATGTGCTCCGAGAATTACACTGTATATATACATGTACTCCGAGAATTACACCGTATATATACATGTACTCCGAGAATTACACTGTATATAAACATGTACTCCGAGAATTACACTGTATATAAACATGTACTCCGAGAATTACACTGTATATATACATGTACTTCGAGAATTACACTGTATATAAACATGTACTCCGAGAATTACACTGTATATAAACATGTACTCCGAGAATTACACTGTAAATATACATGTACTCCGAGAATTACACTGTATATATACATGTACTCTGAGAATTACATTGTATATATACATGTACTCCGAGAATTACACTGTATATAAACATGTACTCCGAGAATTACACTGTATATATACATGTACTCCGAGAATTACACTGTATATATACACTGTATATCTCCGAGAATTACACTGTATATATACATGTACTCCGAGAATTACACTGTATATATACACTGTATATCATACGTCTAGTGTAACGCTGTATATATACATGTACTCCGAGAATTACACTATATATACACTGTATATCATACTTCTAGTGTAACACTGTATATATACATGTACTCCGAGAATTACACTGTATATATACACTGTATATCATACTTCTAGTGTAACACTGTATATATACATGTACTCCTAGAATTAAACTCTGTATTATAATCCTAGTGTAACACTGTATATATACATGTACTCCGAGAATTACACTCTGTATCGTACTTCTGCTGTAAATATATATATATATATATACATACATGTACTCCTAGAATTACACTCTGTATTTTAATCCTAGTGTAACACTGTATATATACATGTACTCCTAGAATTACACTCTGTATTTTAATCCTAGTGTAACACTGTATATATACATGTACTCCGAGAATTACACTCTGTATTATAATCCTAGTGTAACACTGTATATTTACATGTGCTCCGAGAATTACACTCTGTATTATAACCCTAGTGTAACACTGTATATATATGACGCCTAGTATTACACTGTAACTCATACTTGTAGTGTAACACTATATATACAAATGCTCCTAGTGTTATATACAATAATACGCTCGATATATAATAGAAGTATTACATTCTTACTATACTCCTACACTAGGAGTATAACATACAGAGTAACACTCGGAGCATAATATAAAGTGAACAGTATAATACTAGTATAATATACAGTGTAATACTAGGAGTATAATATACAGTGTAATACTAGGAGTATTTATACAGTGTAATACTAGGAGTATAATATACAGTGTAATACTAGGAGTATAATATACAGTGTAATACTATGAGTATAATACTACAGTATAATATAAAGTGTGATACTAGGAGTATAATATACAGTGTAATACTAGGAGTATTTATACAATGTGATACTAGGAGTATAATATACAGTGTAATACTAGGAGTATAATATACAGTGTGATACTAGGAGTATAATATACAGTGTAATACTAGGAGTATAATATAAAATGTGATTCTAGGAGTATAATATACAGTGTAATAATAGGAGTATAATATACAGTGTAATACTAGGAGTATTTATACAATGTGATACTAGGAGTATAATATACAGTGTAATACTAGAAGTATAATATACAGTGTGATACTAGGAGTATAATATACAGTGTAATACCAGGAGTATAATATAAAATGTGATACTAGGAGTATAATATACAGTGTAATACTAGGAGTATAATATACAGTGTAATACTAGGAGTGTAATATACAGTGTAATACTAGGAGTATAATATACAATGTAATACTACGGTAAAATATATTGTAATACTAGGAGTAAAATATACAGTGTAATATTAGGAGTATTTATACAGTGTGATACTAAGATTATGTAAACATACTGAGTATATAAACAGTGTAACATACTGAGTATATAAACATACTGAGTATATAAACAGCGTAACATACTGAGTATATAAACATACTGAGTATATAAACAGTGTAACGTACTTAGTATATTAACATACTGAGTATATAAACATACTGAGTATATAAACAGTGTAACGTACATAGTATATTAACATACTGAGTATATAAACATACTGAGTATATAAACAGTGTAACATACTGAGTATATAAACAGTGTAACATACTGTGTATATAAACAGTGTAACATACTGAGTATATAAACAGCGTAACATACTGAGTATATAAACATACTGAGTATATAAACAGTGTAACATACTGAGTATATAAACATACTGAGTATATAAAACGTGTAACATACTGAGTATATAAACATACTGAGTATATAAACAGTGTAACATACTGAGTATATAAACAGTGTAACATACTGAGTATATAAACAGCGTAACATACTGAGGATATAAACATACTGAGTATATAAAGAAACTGAGTATATAAACAGTGTAACATACTGAGTATATAAACAGTGTAACATACTGAGTATATAAACATACTGAGTATATAAACAGTGTAACGTACTGAGTATATAAACATACTGAGTATATAAACATACTGAGTATATATACAGTGTAACGTACTGAGTATATAAACAGTGTAACATACTGAGTATATATACAGTGTAACATACTGAGTATATAAACATACTGAGTATATAAACAGTGTAACATACTGAGTATATAAACAGTGTAACATACTGAGTATATAAACAGTGTAACATACTGAGTATATAAACATACTGAGTATATAAACAGTGTAACGTACTGAGTATATAAACATACTGAGTATATATACAGTGTAACGTACTGAGTATATAAACAGTGTAACATACTGAGTATATATACAGTGTAACATCCTGAGTGTATAATCGTACTGAGTATATAAAAAGTGTAACATACTGAGTATATAAACAGTGTAACATACTGAGTATATAAACAGTGAAACATACTGAGTATATAAACAGTGTAACATACTGAGTATATAGCAGTGTAACATACTGAGTATATATACAGTGTAACATACTGAGTATATAATCAGACTGAGTATATAAACAGTGAAACATACTGAGTATATAAACAGTGTAACATACTGAGTATATAATCATACTGGGTATATAAACAGTATAACATACTGAGTATATAATCATACTGGGTATATAAAGAGTGAAACATACTGAGTATATAAACAGTGTAACATACTGAGTATATAAACAGTGTAACATGCTGAGCATAAAAACATACTGAGTATATAAACAGTGTAACATACTGATTATATAAACATACTGAGTATATAAACAGTGTAACATACTGAGTATATAAACATACTGAGTATATAAACATTGTAACATACTGAGTATATAAACAGTGTAACATACTGAGTATATAAACAGTGTAACATACTTAGTATATAAACAGTGTAACATACTGAGTATATAAACATACTGAGTATATAAACAGTGTAACATACTGAGTATATAAACATACTGAGTATATAAACATACTGAGTATATAAACAGTGTAACATACTGAGTATATAAACAGTGTAATATACTGAGTATATAAAAAGTGTAACATACTGAGTATATAAACAGTGTAACATACTGAGTATATAAACAGTGTAACATACTGAGTATATAAACATACTGAGTATAGAAACAGTGTAACATACTGAGTATATAAACATAC